AACGACAAAAGCAACACAAACTCAAAGAACCAAAACATCCCATCTCCCTAAGCCAGGCGTAAATTTGAAAAGCCCGAAGCTCTCAGCTTCCACATAAACTGACATAAAGCAACCCCTCTTTTGAGTTTTGGTTGAGGGTTGCCGCAAGCATCCCTAATCGGCGAAACCCCAGATCCGATATATAACTTAACGCCTAGAAGCCCTGGACAACTTGCAAGCCCTGAACCTAATACGTGCCTCTTTGGGCGTGAGGTCTCGGGGAATCGTAAGACCTCGAACCCTCCGCCCGGGTTCTTGGCGGTTGGCCATCGGTCGTGGCTTCCGTGACTTTGATGCGTTTGACTTTCGGACTGGACGCTTCCAGCTCTGGGACATTTGAGTTTAGCGCTTGGGGTTTAGATGGCTCTTCAGCTGCACCTCAGCGTGGACCCAATGAGACTCTTCTGGCACTATGGGCTGTCTCGAGCCTCTCTCTTGAGCTCAGGGCATCAGGATGTCCATCCAGCAACTCATTCGGGGGTGAAACTGTGAATACAAGGACTTAGGGAGCATTTCCTCTTGCTTGCAGCCCAAGGAGCCGTGGTTCCGCAGACCTTCTCAGTGCTCCTGCAGTTCACCTTGCTTCCCCATAAGCCCAAGAAGACGGCTTTAACCCTTCAGTGTCTCCAAACGAAAACCCCGTGAATGACATTTTGATGAGAACCGAAACTCGCAAACCCGCAGCCCAACAACAAAGCCCCGAACCTCATAACCGAAAACCACGGAAAGTCTTGGAGCCAGAGTGGGGGGAACAAAACAACGGAAATTCCTGAACAAAGCACACAACAACAGGGATGAACAAACAAACACAAGCACCCGAAAGTCTAATTCTGCATTAAATAGGCATGAAGCTTCTTTCCGTCGAGTCACTGGGCACGTCTCCGCCGTCGGAAAGCACTCCTCGTTTTCCAGCCTCACATAGAGAAAAAAAGCTTCGGAGAAGCAAGCTGGAAAGGCTTGAACGGGTCGAGAGCAGTTGGCTTGATGGCAGCAGGACAAACGATAAACCCTCCCTCGAAACCCTACAGTACCGTGGCTATAGGATGCTTGGAGCCCGGCCCAAACTCATCCTTGGTAGCTGGGATTATGCGTTCGGGGAGTTAGGAGGCTTCGTGAGGTTTCCACGGCCGAGGTTGCGGAAATTCAGGCGAGCCCTTCTTCTCACAACAGATGCAGAAAAGAACGCACCACAAAGAGACTTGCAGGCAGGCCGGGTCAAGGGTGCAGGTCAAGTTTGGGAAGTTTCGGGGGCTGTTAGGGTGTACCGGGCTGTTACCGTAGTTGCTGCACGGCATCCGTCCACCGACACATCTTGGCATTCAAGCCGCAAGGACAGGGCCTGGCGCTCTTGAGCTTTGTGGTTTCTGGCGGTTTATGTTAGGGTGCTAATGACAAGGATCACGAGCTGGTCATGAAGGAAAAACAGCGAGACCGCATCTACATCACTTAGCTGCCCCAACACACGAGACCCAATCTCCTATGGAGCCTTCATCAAATTCCGGCAGCACCTGCTGCCTCGTCTGCACCCCCAAACCTCTATCCTAGCTTGCGCACGAAGCTCTACAGCCCCCAGGACTTTTCGAGCCCCGACTCCTGGAATGCTGAGGCCCTGCTGATCCCATAGGGTTGGGGCGCTTGGCCCATTGGGGCTGCAGCCTCGTGATGTTCTGGCAGCTCTCGCTCACCCGGGCAGCCCAATCTGCTTCACCTTGGCAAACTTGAAATCTGAACCCTTGGGCCCTTGGGTCCCAAGACCTCCCTAAGCCCTGAAGCCCCCAAGCATTCCGGCCAGAACGGCTTGAAGTGACTCGGGCTGCGCAGTCTTGTCGAAGCGTAGAGGGGGACCCCAAGCTCATTGCAGGGGGACATGCAAAAGCGGTTCCTTGCAGAGGTGTGGACAAGGACAGACGGAAGGATTTTGAGGCTTTGGTGGCTGAAGGCCACAGCGTGCATAAGTGTGCATAAGCCTGCCCGAACACCGAAACATCGATTCTGCTAGCCGAAGCCCTCTAGACAAATCGGCTTTGAGTAAGGTAAGGCTGCAAACCCTCAACCCTACAGCCCGAGGTCCCAACCCCAACAAAGCCCTGACGCTAAAGCCAAAGGCACCATCCAGTGTGAAGGAGACGGGAAAGCCTCAGAGCAGGTCAGACCCTAGAGTGTGTGTGTGTGTGATTGTCGGAGTCTTCCATGCATTTGAGGGTGTTTTCGCGTTGTTGCTGCTCTCTGACTCTCTGCATACGGCTACTGTGTAAGCTTTTCCTCAAATGGGGCCTCCGCCTCCCCCCCCTCCACGCCCCCCACTAAGCCAGGCTAAATCTCTAACCCCCATGCGGGCTCAGGGAAGATCGATTCAGCTGAGGTCCCGGCACGTCTTCTCCGTGATCGGGTTGCAATAGAGCGGGCAGCCGTGGACGGCCTGGCAGGATTCGGTTCTCAGGCTGGCTTTTCGTGACTAGTGCTGAAGACGTGGACTATCGGGTTCGAGCACTGAGCCTGCAGCACAGTTCTACAACCCTGGGCGCAAGAGCTCCAAACAGGCTTGAGGGCTTTTGGGCTCAAAGTGCTTGCAGTGGTGGCTCCTGAACACGACATTGGGGTCAACAAGCCCGGAACCAAGATGATGGCATCTTTCCCGCGACAGACCCAAATCTGAAGCTCTGAACTTTGGCACCATTGGCCCTCTGAGAGGAGAACTCCAATACCACAATACCGCCAGCCAAAGGCCTCTGAAGGTTAGCGCTTTGGTCCTAAACCCTAAACCCTAAACCCTGAACCCTAAACCCGAAACCCTAAACCCAATTCCACGGCACCTCTGAGAATCCTATGAGAGGTGTGCTGCGGAGCGGCCGGGGTGCAGTAGGAGTCCCCATCGTTGGGATCCATGCCTGTGTGCCCGACTTGAGAGGTCAAACCCAAACCCACATGTCCCAAGACCTGAGAAGCCCTAAAGATGTAAACCCTGAGCCCACGCTCTTGAGCTGTGAACTTGGGACCCAGGCGCTAGAAGCTTAGGATTCGCACAGGGCCTCTCGGCTTCACTCTGCACGTTATCTGCTCATTGATTGAAGGCGAACGTAAGCTTGAGTAGGTAAGAAAGGCTTAGAGCAGCAACACTAAGGCCCTATCATGACCCCCCGCCCCTCCGCGTGCAGCAGAGAAAGCATAAGAATCCAAAAACGCAGGGAAAAGCAAACCCCTTAGGATTTGGCCACAAGATTCCAGGACCGGGTGCCCCCAGAAACAGGCAGGCACTCATAGTTGGCATGTGTCGAACACTACTTTTCAGTGTATCCGACACCCACTCATTGTCATGCTATCGAAGGCAAAAGACCCGAATCTGCATCCCAGAATCAGAACCGGATTGCAGACCCCGGGACAAGCGCTCTAAATTGGATCTTCAATCGAACTCATGACAAGGGTGTCCCCAAAGCACCAAGATCATGCTCAGGCTGGACACAGCGGATGGCGTTCGTTCCGCACGGGCATTCCTCACTCCACGTGGCACCTTCATGCAGGTTCCGCATGTGGGGGTTTACCATGGATTCGCGGTTTCCTACATATCTGCTGTTAGGAACTTCAGACCTGGGACTTCAATTGTAAGGTTGGGATGCTTTCTTGGGTATTTCGGCTGGCTGGCTTGATGAAACCTCCTGAAAGGGTCCGAAGCCCCCAAGAAGCCCCAAGCCTTTAAAGCCCAAGCCCTGAGCTTTCGAGGCCCAAGGACCTCAGACTCAGAGGAATCACCTGAGCTGAGCGCATGATTCGGTGCTGCTGAGCCAGCCGCCATTTGCTGCGTAGTTCTCCTGAGGTCTGAAGAGTCGTATAGGGGTGTGTTTAGGTTTAGGGCTGGCGGTGCTTAGCGTTTTGGGAGTTCCGGCGGGAGGCTTGGGGTGTGCAACCTTCTGTTGAGGGAGGATGTTGGCTTTGGGTTATGTACAGCGCTCCGGAATATTTCGGATTCATCTCAGGGTTTTGGGATCTAGAGACCAATGTACCCATGAACTTCATAGACGCATCCGAATCGCCACCCAGCAGTACTGCTCTGCACAGCTGACCGGGCCTTGACAGCTGGGGCACTGGGGGGGGGGGGGGGGGGGGCCTTTTCGCAGGTTCTTAGGCTTGGCTTTCAGAACTTCGGAAGCGCGGTTTCGAGTGCAGCCTGATTTTGAGTCCTACATGCAAGTCCTCAAGCCCGTAAGTCAAGACTTAAGCCAGTGATGTCTGTGGGCAACACGAAATTCACGAAATTTGAATTGCCGTTGAAGCCGTTGACACCGTGAGTATAGGAGTTGCCATCTACTGCAGGTCAAGCTGTTGATGCCGTGGATTTGGGTGACGCGGTTGAGCTGGCGCCCCGAGTATGGTGACTTGACGAAGCCTCCGTGGAGTTTGCTTATGCCGTTGACAACGACGCCATGGAGTTGAGTCTTCGCATCTTCGAGCTGACTTTGACATCCTCATGTCTTCGCGACTTGCCTCAGAAGAGTACGCACCTTACGGACATTTATGCAAAGTCCGAAACCCTGAGCTCCGAAATCATGATAAAACCCGGAAAACCTTACATCCGAAATCCAACCGCAAGCGTCCCCAGGCCTGATGTTAGACCGACAGCTTGTTTGCTAGCTTCGGGTTTTTGAAGCATAGGGCGGAGGTGTTGGTCGACAGATTAGGCAACTACTAGCCACTCCTGAAGGTCCTCCAGAAACTCAGATAAACATGCCGTGTCCACCACTGTTCTCAGCTTGAAAAGTGGGACGAACTCGCAAAATGAGTAACCGGAGGTTCGAGATAATCTGATAAACCATAATGAGCCGCAAAATGAGATAGAAGACTTTCGCACACATGAGAGCAGGTTTGAACAGAATGTCCCCTACCCACTCTACATCGACGAAGTCGAGGAACGAGAAGGGGTTTGAGCCGGTTTGAGTGTAAGAGCAGCCCTTCGTACGCCCTAAGCCCTAAACGCTGGCAAAGAAGCAGATCTCCGAAATGGCCACGCAATGTTCGTCGGAGGCCGCCTTCGAGCCGCACCTCACAATGCCGCAGCAAGAGGCAAAGCCTTGCTAAAGCTCGTAGACCACACTTCGAAGGTTTTTAAGGGTTTCGGGTATTGGGCATGTTGGCGTCTGTTGGCATCTGTTGGCTTCTGGGCTTAGGAATTCAGGACGTCGGGCTGAAGGAACCCAATCTCCCCACAGCTTGCTCCCTGAAGCACTGGAATGCTTCAACGAACTCAGCCACGGGCTTCTGGGCCGTGGCATTATCGCAGACGATGGGGGGAGCAGAACCTCATAGCAGAAAGATCCTCTTGCACTTTCAACGATGGCTCCTTGGGTTTTTAGGCTTCGAAGCCTGAAAATCCAAAACCCTCCAAGATGCTTGGGTTCAGACCTTTCATCAACACAAATAAAGCGAATGAATAGCACCGCACATGCCAATATTACATGTGTTCGACCTTTATACCCCCTGAATAACAATTTCTGCCCAATCCTGAACCCTAAGCTTTCAGTCCCCAACCCCACATCCTAAATTCTCAACCCTCGGCCTTCCACGAACCCTCAGACTTCAACCCTCGACCCCCTCGTGGCCCAGGAACATCTGGTCGGATCTGCACTCAAGAGGGCAGCCATCAGGATACCATTCCTCCGTTTTTCAACCGTGCACCTACGGCTTCTGCGGCTTCACGGGACCCCTGAATCTCAGGCCCTGCTGGGCTGCCAACAGCACAGGCCCTCAAGACCAATGTGAAACAAGTCAGTTTTGAGGATTGAAATGCACCCCATCCGAGAAAAACTTCCGACCCCCCCACCCCTTCCCCCCCCTTCCCCCCTTCCCCCCCCCCCCCAAAAAAAAAAAAAGCGTCACGCATAGAAGCAAAACGAACAAGTTGAACCGCCCAGGCGCTGCTGGGAAGCACTCGCTCATCCCGGAGTCCTGTAGGACGCGTGGGGTTCCGCAAGATGCTGTAGGATTCATGGCGACGTGCGTGCAGGGCTTGTAGGGGGCTGGGTTTTGTAGGATTTTGTCTTGGCGTCTGAAGAGTTTCTGAAAGACTTGCGCGGAGTGTTCAAGGGTTTGCCTGGTTTCTGGCAGGGGGCTCTATTGATAAGCTTTTTCAGGTCCTATTCTAGAGTCATGGGAAGCTTAGGGTACAAGATGTTGCAAGAACCCTGGTGCTGTGCAGCAGGGCCTCTTGAAGAATATGAGTACGACTTTCTAATATTTACGACGATAAGGTTGAGGATGTCCTTCGGCTTGGCTTCCTCAAGTGTCTGGCTGCGGTAAGACCCCCCGAACCCCGAAGCTTGGGGCTTTAGTGGCTTTAGGTGTCGCCAGGGGTCCACGTTGGTGCAGGTGATCTCTTCGGACTCGCAGACGCAGCCCGTGTCGGTGGCACAGGACTCAGCACCTCGGGCTGCACGGCTTCAGGATTAAACGAGCCTTCAATCCCCACAAAAACAGTCTAAGCCCGAAGCCTCCAAACCCCATATATTACTAATCCTAACGTACGGCGACATCTCCGACCAAACCCCTGCCAACAAAGCAAAGCCACCGGACACGTAGTGGTAGCAGGCCTCCTTGTCACCACAGTCCACTGGGCCTCATCCAGGGACCAGGCCCTACAAGAGATCCTTAGCCTCACACACCCTAAACCATCAAACCTCTGAGAATCCTCACTCAAAATCTCACAGCTTTGGCTTTTTGTCCTTCAGCCTCGCACCCCTGAAGCTCTACAGGAACCAGTCGCGAGAAGCCCTTTCCATCCACTTCAAGCAGAAACCCACGAGTGGCTGACAACGTCTGGGGTTTGGGATTTAGAAAGCTTTAGGGCTCAGTGCTTCGGAGTTGGGATTGAGGGCTTAGGATGCGAGGCCCTGGGTTTAGGAGCTTCTTTTGCGGGGTCTTGAACTTTCGGTGCATGGGGTTCGATGTTGGCTGCGCTGTTTAAAGAATCCATGTTGGTGGGACATGCACGACTATCAACACGAACTGTTCAATGGCCTCGATACCCGAGGATTGAAATCATCGGCAGTCAATCTTTCGGCTCCAGGGCTTAAGGCGTCGTGAAACACTTGCAAAAACAGCATCTCCTTGCCTTTGCTTCTTCGGGTGTGATAGGCTTATCAGAATCGAAGGGTTTGTGCTCTTAAGTGTTTAAGTCGGCTGAAGTAAACGCGGGTGGTTCAGGGTTTAAGGGGTTTCAGACCAGCTCCGTTGCCGAAGATCTGTGATTCCTAAACGGGCTTGCTAGCCTGCACTGCTAAGCTCCCAGTCCTAAGACCTTAAAATATTCGACCGGGATGGGCCTGGAACCTTGAACCCTGCGTACTTCACCAAGATCTCTGGTTGCAAATGAGCCACAGCTTTCTGTGGCGACCAGGCAATAGTTTACACCAGCGTAGGTGCATTTCTTCTCAAAGACCTGATAACTGGACTGTGCACTGTCCTACCTAAACCCCGAACGCTACACTACCAGGGGCTTCAGTCAGGACTCGATTGTTTTTGATAAAAAAAGTATACAAGAAACATACACAATGATATGCTATATAGAATATGCATATATTGGTAAATATCATGGACAAACAACAATAAACGATCAATAGGCATGCAGGTTTGGGTGAGGGCCTGTCTCTCCAACAGAAGGGGTGCCCTGTGAAGTCTTTGAAATTCCCTGAGCCCCGCAACCCGAATTCTTGCAAGCCCTTAACCTGCGCACAAAGTCTAGGCCCCATACAGGCTTCAAACATAGCCCGAAGCCCGATATAGGCATTAAGCATAGCCCTGAAGCCCAATATAAGCTTGAAACATCTCTCTAAATCAGCCCGGCAAATTCTCTAAACTTGAAAACCTCACGGAGGCAGGCCAGGCACCGCATTGCACGGGCAACCTGGAGCAGGAACTTCCATGGATGGTCTTGGGGTAAGCAAGCCCTGACGAAACCACTGCTCTCTGTAGGTTGCTTGTGGGAGGGCTGCGGAACACAGCGCGCAGGCGCTAAACCATGAATAAGGCTCTCTGCAAAAAGAAATCACAGAGGAACCGTGTTTGTGACGACCATAGTAGACTTGAGAAACATACGGTGGAAACTTGCGCAGCAGGCGCTATTGAAACCTAAACCCTCCAAAGCCCAACCAAAAAGCCGAAGGCCTTCAGTAAAGCTGACACCCATAAACCTGAAACCCCCAAACCAAGCCAGCAACCCCGAAACCTGACATGACATTGGTTTTTGTGGTCTCAGGCGGGCATCAACACTAACATCAGTCGGCAAGGCTCGGGGGCAGCCTAGGTCCTCCCAAACAACTCGAAATTTTGGTGAAGTTCTCAAGCCCTCAGCCCAAAGCTCCATACACTTCGCCAAAACACCTTCCGTTTGATTGGCGCAGGTCTCGATGAAGCCCCGCTCGTAGTCGACCGTTCCGTCGTTCTCGGAGGGCTTGGGGTCGAGGCATGTACAGAGGGGCTTCATGAGGCTGCAGAATCCAAATGCTTCTGGAGTTTGTCAGGGCGAAGACCGCCCCACCTGAGGCCCCTGAAGCCCTACAACCCCCAAAGCCCCCGTAAAGCCCCGTAAAGCCCTGAACCCGAAGTCGCCCTGCCGAGTTGCATTGTACGGCGTGACCCAGCAGGTGATCCTCAGAAAGACTCGGGCCCCCCCAAAGGTCCATGTGTTTTTACAGTGGGCCCCCCCAGGCGCAGACAAAAAAAAACACTACACAAAAGTGTTTGTTTCGCCGAGAGACAGTCTTCATGTCAGTTTTCAAATGTCTACAGGGCTTCTAGGATACAGTGCTTAGGGGTTGCCTGAGCTTCCTGCCATGGCCGGTGCTGGTTTTTTGGATGAAGTGGCGATTGAACAAGGGCAGTTGAGTACAGAAGGAAGACCGAGGTTTGGCTATTGGGAAGTTACTGGGCGCTTGTCGTCTCCTCCTTATGACTCTGGCGGTCCTCATATTGTGGTCATCGAGTGTGCCAAGTGTCTTGTCCAGGGCTACCCGCCGGGTTTTGATTTCTGGTTTCGCACGGGGACCGAATGATGCAGGGGATAAAGGACCGGGGACCATGGCACCGGCAGATTTCTGGATTGCAATTCTGTAGGGCGTGCCAAAGCAACCTGAGCCAAACTGTTACGCCAAAAACCAGGCCCCAAGCCAACCTCAACTCCAAAGCTTGCACGACACCTCTGCACCAACATCCCCTAAGATCTCGTACTGGTACCTCCATTAAATCCTCAACTTCTCAACCCTAACAGCAAAACATACAAGCCCTCGACCTACATCTCGCAGCCGCGGAGCTGGCCCGGAAGGCAGTGCACCGGGCAGGAACCTAACGCCTGTGTGAGCTTTGGGGGGGGGGGGGTTTGTCGATGTCTGGGATTTGCGTGGAGCCTTTGGGTGAGGCATTGACGTTGTGTGGTAAAGAGGGAACTTGTGGGGCCTTTGAGAGGGCTTGCCTCGTCCTAGCCTTCTGGGGGCTCTGGATTGCATTCTAAGATGAGTCTTCGTTCATTGGGGAAGATGGAGAATGGTAAGCCAAGGAGTAATTCTGGAGTCCTTTGAAGAACATCCGGCTGCCCCAAGGGAAAATCTCGACCTCGGTTGGAGGCTCCTCTGGCCTACAAACCCTTCAACAAAATGCTTCTAGATTCTAGAGCCTCTCTCGAAGCCCCAAGTTCATGAGACCCTAGAAGTTGGAAGGCTTCAGGGAGAGAGAGTCAGGCGGTTCGGGCTTAGACTTAGGCACCGAAACCGAAAACCCCCCCATCGATAAGGCCCAACGGCCCAACCTTGACCTCGCACCAGGTTCCGCTGTGGTCATGACCTCATTGGGGTGCACAACGCCCCAAAAGCCCTTGAAGGGTCAGGGTTGCGAAAGGGCCGAGGGCCAGGGGTTCTTCTTTGGTGTGGGTTTTTTTCGGGTTCGGCTCCAACTCCTGGATCTGATTCTGAACCCTGGCTGTATAGAACTCACAACCCTCAAAGCATGAAGGCCTCAAAGCCAAAGGAACTCAACAAAATTGCGTTGGCTTCCTTACACTGCTGCCCCAGCGGAGCCAAACCTTGAACCCTCAGAGACTGCTACTGTCATCCACCTCTTATCCACCTCTTCAACTTCTTTGCCGTAGGCCGCCGGCAACGCTCTTCGAAGGCCGGATGGCAGGGACATGGCCTCATGGGTTGAAGAGCTTCTTGCGTTTACCCATTTAGGAATTTATAGGTTCAAGGGAGGCGTCAAAGTGCTACTACGGGGCTCTGCGACTTTAGTGAGTTTAGATGAAGTAAGGGCTTCAAAAATGATATCTCTGGGCTTGATGGTTCAAAGCCAAATTCTTGCCTACACCACCATGCGAGTTGAGGGCTACGCAGCCCCAAGACTCCAAGACAATCCTTGACCTCTCAATCCAATCCGCTTGGAGCCCCTCCCTCCACCCTCTATCACCACACAACCAAGGGTCCCATGAGCCCCCAACTTCGGATCTGATCATCTTGGGGTTTGCTTCGGATTTCAAGAACTGTCAGCAGGACGCCCCCTCAGCCCGCCCAAACCCCTCAGCCCAAAAGCAAAAACGAATCCAACGAAGGCACCCAGAAGATTCAGGGCAACAAAGACACAGGTCGAACACCCTGAGCCC